GTATATATACGGTTCTTGAAATACTATATACCACCGTCTAGCAATTATTGTGTAACATTTAACAGGTAAAACAACATTTGTTCTAATTCTATTCTTTTTTTGTTCCTGATTATAAGAAGTTTTCGTATGCTGTTTTATGACAATACGTAAAGGGTGTAATCATCTGACTGATAATACCTGACACGACTCATATAACAATGTGATTGGAAAAGGATATAGCCTAAAATTCATTACTTTAGGTAGGGATTTTTGATCCTTTATTTTTTCACATTTATAAAACTTATATTCAGATTCATGCGTATATTCACCACGATTTCACAGTTTCTGTACAATATGAAATCTATACTATATTCAATCTTATTCATACAACTTGGGTAGGGTGACGTATCGATTAGAACCACATTAGAGCGTTGCAATATTGAATTTGTACCGTACTACCGAGCTAAGGTAACAAACATCTAAAATACCACGTCTGTAAACCTTACATGATATAAATATAAAATTATATGTGTATAAAACATATGTATGTAACCTAATTTACAAGAATATAAAATATATCAATCATTTCAATTTCATACATATATTTTGCTTCATATAGAAAAGCGACTTGAATCATGAAACACGCACTCCGAAGAACTACAAAGCTACTTCTTTTTCAACATATATATTTGAAGAGGAAACTTAAAATATATAGGTGCTCTATGATACACGATATAAGTATTCATTAAAATTTTCCAATTTCTCATGAAAAAGTTATAGGTCTGTTATGCGCCCGTTACGGGCGAAGCCCCGGTAGCTAACAATAAAAAAATAGATTCCTACATTAAACCTCAAGACATATCGGCTAGCTATTTGAATAAAGGCACCAAATGTCTCAATATCTTGAATATACTGGCATTCAAGATTATATTAAGTAAGGCTGTCGTTGTCGCCGTCGGATGTAGCTGTTGGCATATCAATTTCTTCAAATCAATAATCTAATATTTTAATTGCAAAGCGTTTAAAAACATTTTCAAACTAGTGAGATATATAAAAATAATATTATATAGCACTCAGTGTAACAAGTTTTCATAAGCAGTAGAGTTTTCATTTCATGAAAGTGACGCAATGAGCGGAAATCTCATCTAGGCGTTCAGTGTACATCGAACACTTTGCCCGAAGTGAAATTTCACTAAATTGAAAATCCAATATATAGTACAACACTTTTAGAATGAAGTATTCATAAAAGTTATTATTTTAAAATCTATTCTGTTAGGTAGTTTTTTGTTTTAGTTACGTTAATATTTTATAATGATTTTTGGTTAAAAGATATGATATTATTTCGTAACAAAACCCCGATTTCAATCGTAATGAAATTAGTATACGATTAAAATAGGAGTGAATCCCTTTGATTGCAAAAGGAGTGATTAAAATCTGTTTATAATGAACAGAGATATTGTGTAAAATTAAAAAATATGATTAATTGAAATTGTCTTAAAATCGGTTGATATCATTAGTAACCTCATCTTTAGGTTTTGTGTGTTTAATTGCATAATAATCAGATTATATTTAAAAAATAAACTCCACACATATGATAGGTACGAAATTCAAGTAGAACTTAAGTCATTGCAATAGCTATTTACCTTGACATGAGCATTATCCAAGATTAGTCCTTTCTACAAAATGCCGACTCGACATCACAAAAGCCAACCCGTGTTATATTCGCAGCGCCCTCTTGCGTGTTTCAGCGTATTCTCTCATCAGGCGCCACTATCTCTCACCGGCGTTGGTACGCAGTAATTGGTGAGAGAATACCATACCGTCCCGTCTACATTTTTCATACAGATCACGGCTCACTCGGCCCACTCAACTCAGCAATGTCGATTATTAGGACTTTCTATTTGATATCAGTAATCTCCAGAGAATATCTATCAATTTTGGAATAGGCTTTTTTTCGTACATACACAACAATTTTTTTAATTATTTACATGTAATAATGAATAATAACACCTAGATAGGTCTGCGTAGTCTCTATAAATGCAATCACAAATTTTTTTTTTTATGAAACATAATACAGGTATAATTATTAATTTTGTCAATGGTAGTTGTAACTATATTTCACACATACCGTCATCTTTAGGATGTCTTTGAATGAACTTAGTATAAACAATTAAAACGTAACGTCAAATTAATTAGATTTTGAATTCTATTTAGGCTTATAATTCTAAAAAGTTTATATAATTTTATTTTGTTGTTATCTACCTTTAATTTTAAATAATATATCAAATGAAACCTTTTATAAATTGGATTTCAAATACGTAAATTTTAAATATTCATCTATTCATGTCTAGTTTTTGTCGTATCTAGAAATAGTAATTTCCAGTTCTAAAATCGAATTTTTGAAATAGTCTGCTGTGACTCGGTAGTCCCGGGAGTCTATTTTTTTTACGTATTGTCATTATTTTTTCACTTCAACAAGTCGGGTACGTAACGGGTTGGAGTGTCGGCGGGTGTAAATTGAAACACTTGCAAATTTACTCCATACATTATTCATGTTTCAAATACCCTTAGTGCGAGTTTGACAGTTTCACTTGACGCAGTTTTCAAAATACAGAACGAAGACGAAAAAAAAATCAACCACGATTCAATTTTATTTATAAATAAGACTTAGAAAGATATATCGGAGGTTCATGTAATGTAGTGAGGTATCGTTGCTTACAGACATGAATAGCACCATGGAGACATACTTGGATTCAATGTTTATATAATAGGGATTTCAATGAAATGGGCATAGATAGATTACAATATAGACTAGTATATTATAGGCTATTTTGTTTTAAATTATAAAGATAGTAAAGTAGCATAGAGCCCGTTTGATGGTAAACGGTAACTGTAACCTATGGGCGCCTACAACAGTAGAGGTATCACATTCGCATTGTCGACCCTGAATAAATCTTAATATACGTTTTTTGCGGAACCGTATATTGTAATATCTAATTTATGTAGGAAAATTCACAGGATACTTTTTGATTAATTCTTACTAACATTATAATTGTGAAAGTATAATTTATTTTTTATTTTGAAATTTGCTATATTGTTATATTGCCAACTGGTATATCTTTAGGGCATATGACATAAATAAAAATTTTTCGGCATTCTAATGGCTCCCAATTATCACGATTATTTTTACTTGGAATATAGAAGGATACAGGTTACTTTTTGTCATGATAAATCAATATTTTGGTGTCAATGATATAGATATTCTTTTATAATAGCGTGACATGTGATCATACAATTCTAAACGAATACAGGGACAATATGGTTTATGACTGTAGTCAAACGAAAAAAGAATATTCTATTTATACAGTAAGAGTTGTGTTTGACACGATACTCGTATTTATTAAAAACTGTTTCATTTCAAACACAATATAAAATTAATATTGTACTTTCAATAATTCTATACAGACATTTTGAGTTCATTGGTAAAATTATGATAACCCTATCATGAGTAATTGACAGATCGTCGCGTCGACTACGCAAATCACATCCTATTGTACCAGACTCGTGGCACATAAGTGAATTAGGTCAACCATTATACGCCTAACAAATGGGTACCCGTCTAAGATGGGCTGCAATAAGGAGTTCAGGAACCCGAAACCTGCATTATTCTAACCCTAATAAATTTACTAAGTCGAACAGGCATTGTCTGACAAATGAGTTTGAAGACGTATGGTTATTATTTCAAATATATTGTAAACAGTCCTTTTGAAAGAGTTTGGAATGTAAGCTAATTTATTATAAAAGTGCGTAAATACATACAATAATATGGCGTATAGTATCGGCATATTCAGGCCACCCGTTCGTTGTTCGTGGCTGTCGTAAGAGGCGACTAAGGGAACACAAACGGGTAGAAGTGTCCTTCTTAAAATATCACCAAAGCCTAACTGCGGTTGTCAACCCGCCTGCCAAGCACGGCAAGTACTGGCAAAACCTGCCAGTAGGGAAAGGCCTATATATAAAGTTCAGCAGGAGACAGTTAATGGCTAATATGATGATGATGATGATGATGATGATGATGATGATGATAACGACAAAAAGTAAAGCTTTATTAAAGACCTTCGTAGTATCACTAGCTTGTCAGTAAAGTTCAGACAATTAGTCTATAATTGTCCTACTTACGTATGTAAGTTTTTCTAATGAGCTCTAGATCTATAAGTACCTATATTAAATTACCGAAATCATATCACTGACTAATGTTGTGATACCTCGCTATTATCGTATTAGTAAATACCAATCCATAATAATTGTGCAATCATAGTTTGGCCAGGATAGTGTAATGCAATAATTAGTACTTTAATTAAAATAGATGCATTTTTATTGTAGATTATTTACAGGGGATTTTATTTTATATAGTGTCAGTTCTATAACTGTTAGAAGGAATGCAATTTTTGAAAATAAACAAAGATTTATAAACTTTGTCATACACTAACGACATTACTTATAAAGCAAAACTTAGAATGTTAAAAGCCTTAGTGTCTTACACCTTAACCTCTTGCGTTAAAGCTTCTGTAAAATAGTCACTCTACTGTAATACACGCTTCATTACTTTTATTTTCAACTTCAATTGGGATTAAACGGTCTTATGTTAATATTACATTTATAATTCATGATAATAAATAAAAATTACTGGCCTTAAAACCTACAGAAGTGAAATGTTAATTTACAAAACACATTTTCCTTAGAGAGTTTACGTAATTTCTTTCTCACCAAGGCGTTTCCTGAAATAAATTACAAGTGTAAAATTCACAGCAACAAAAGCGAAACAACAAAAGGCTCGCGGCTTGTAACATCCGGACGACCCTTCCAAACTTAGGCAGCCTGATTACGGATATCCGAGCAAAAAAATAAAGGGAGAAATAATACGCAACCATGTACAAAATCCAAGTGTTTTCAAACAAATCTCTGTTGTGTTATTAATATTAAACATTAACAAGAATTTAGGAAATTTCCCACTACAATAGTTAGGCTTCTTTATTTATATTCTCTATAGAACATTTTCGAGTGAGCAGTACGTTTATATGAAAGTCAACGTAGTCGAAAAGGGCCGGTTGGGGGGTGTAATGTTTTACGTATAGATGAAATCTTGGATCTTTTTGGAGGTAAGTGTCACCGCCAGGTGCAGGAGTGGGTGCTGGTAGTGATGGACTTCTAATTGAAGGTGAACGCGGTGGAGTAAAAGGACCCCTACCTTTATCAGGACTCGGTGGACGCAACCTCTTCCACAAAAAAGGACGCTTATGCTGCGGACCATGATGAAGTGTCAGGTGCCTAGTATCTAAACGTTTGGCTTCAGGCGTTGTCAATTCGTACATTTCGGCTAATGATAAATACCAATAATCAGCACCATCTCCAATTACTGGGAATAATCTTTTGTTTGAAAATCTGGGTCGGTGCTTTCTAACAAATTCATCATATTTGCGTTTTAATCTCTTCATATATTCCTTGTAATGGATCGATTTTAACAGTTTTTCAAATTCAGAAAGTTCTGTTGTTTCCGATTGAGAATATACACCCGCACAAACATAAGTTCTTAATAGGTGGTGCAATTTAAATACGATAAAAGCCAGCCACTTTCGCGCTTCTTCTTCCAAGATTCTCAAATCATCAGCTCTGCTTCGAACCCCGAATTCCATCGCTTCGGCAGCTCTCCTTTCACCACGTTCCGTGACAGTTGCTAACCAACGACGATACGAACGGTAACAAAACTTCGTCCGTCTTGAATAATATCCACGATAGAGAGCCTGCATATCAAATGCGAATGTTACGAGTACAATTTTTAATATTGATATATACGTTGTAGAATAAACGACAAAAAGGTGCTGTTAAATAATGACTCAATGTATGATATTTTCCTTCTGAACAATAAAATATTTTCAACTTCATTTTTGTACGTATATTATACTATTAACTAAGGGATCAAATAAAAACTGAAAGTCGTCTCGATGAATTAAGCTGAGTACGTTGATGTTATTGTAATGTTATTATTAAGTATTAGATACATAATTATATTTATCATTAATTTAATCATAAAATATCGTCAGTATATAAATTTAAAGTCATCATGAATTACGTATTTGAGAGTATAATATAGGTACTTATTATAATTTAATATTGTTCTAAATTATAAAAATTGAAGTAATAGTATTAAATCATTTAGGTCATTTACACATTATTTTGCCTCCTATCACCATCCATTGGATCCATTTTTAGTGATCTGTATAAAAACTGTTCTATTTCATAATTCAAACAATATTGAAAATCGTTTCAAGATATTTTTATATATTATGTACACACTTACACACCAGAGAGAGACTGTACAAAAGTCATTTGCTTGGGGTACCCAAGACTGTCCCATTCGTGTTTCAACCATGAAGCAGTTGTATTTGCATGGCTGTGTTTTGGTTTGAAGGGTGGAATATGGCGTGAATTTACAGGGTACAGAGGAATAAGACCTGAGTCCTTAGGAATGGCCACGCATGGTAGGTATCACTAGCGAAACAGTATACTCTGTTATGTCAATGGTACTGCTCATATCTATAAGTGACGGTTACCACTTTCCATAAGGTGGGTCGTCAGCTTGTTTGCCATTCTAAGTTGTATAATAAAAAATATAAATTAACCAGTTTTAAACCATATTGAAATACGATGACAACAAAATTTTTATATACGAGTATATATCTAAATAGAGTGTGTGAATAGAGAGATTACCAAGTATATGATGAAATATTTTATTACCTGAATAATTGTAGCTGCTCGAGCATAATATTTGGCATGCTTATTCCGAACTGCTCGTCTCAGTGCTGCTCTATATATTTTGCGAGCCCTATATATTCTAAAAGCGCATTGTATTATAGTAGCATTCTTTGATAGCCACGCTATGTGTTTTCTTATTAGATAACCTCTTGCCATACGTTGTAGTAACAATACTGCTAAAAATCTTTTATGGCGTCGAACTTCACATAGATCAACACATTTTTGCAATTCTGCGTAAAATTCATTAGCTGTCGGCAGAAAACGACTCACGGTAGCCATTTGTGACAACTTGATGTCGTGTATATTAAAGTCACAATGACAGTATTATTGATCATAAGTAATGTCCTTACTCTATGGCTTTGTTTAAGGATTTTGACAGCTTTATTTGCAATGTAAAACTATACTTGAGCTATAATGTAATTAATAATTTATATAATGTTTTAACTCAGATATATTACTTTGGTTTTAATAGTTTAATTCATTAGCCAATTACATTACTGTCTATGCTTGTTTTGGATTTTATAGAGACATTTGAGATATTTGTTGGTTAGAAACATAAATTAAGGATAGTATCTGCAGACCAAGGCGCATAATTAATATTTTTTTAGCAGCGTATAGCAGTACACAAATAATTTTATTGAGCTTATTTTCCTTTGCCAATCCTTCTACCAAAATTATTAATAAGAAAAAATAAACAATATTAATTGACATTGAATGTCATGTAAAATTTCAAGTTATTTCTAGACTTTATTATTATGTAGTGATTACTTGCTCTGTGGTAATTGTGCCTTTAGATTATGTTTAAAATAATTAAAATATATCAAAAAGTAAAATTCTAAAATCGCATTTAGAAGTAATGTGTAATTTAAACTCTTATTACGTTTTTAAACGGCCAACGAAATTGTCACTGTGAATTGTTATACAATTATCTATAAATTAAGAATAGGTACTACGTACTACCTATTACGTGCACGTTGACTACTACTTGGTTCTTTTTTTATTTGGAACTCTGGAACAAGCAACGATACGAGATTTCAAGAGTCCTCTTTTCCTCCCTTCAGTTCTCGCTCAGGTGGGTTTGTTGTGAGACATCATGAATAATTCAGCAATCAAATTGGCAAGGTGTATACGTTTGTTTATTTATTTTTACCCGAAATTTAGTGGTAATTTTTATACATTATGTATGAGTCGAAAATAATTTACAAAACCAGTTCTCTGAATAAAATTGAGAAATAAGGATGATTTTCCTCTCTTCATTTTATATTTAATTTGATATTCAGCAAAAATTAAATCGTTTCTCAAAGAAAGTAAATTTTATGTAAAAAAAAGAAAAACGCTATAAATTTATGCAATGTTGTTAATTGTTTATAAGAAGTTAGCAACTCTTTCAAAAGCAAGGTACAGAGGGATTTCCTACTACTAAATTATTAATAATGTACTACGGGACTTTTTATCCAGTAAAATAATGACTGCGGTGAATTTTTAAGAGGAAAAATGTCTTGAAATCTTTTTATGTATTTATTATTCTGACGGTTTCCCGTTTGCATTTTTTAAGAGAGTCCACTTTTAATTTTTAATAGATAAATAATATTTTATAATTTTTTTAAGAGATATTTACATGAATTAATGTATTTTATTCGTTATAATGTCCACATCATTATATGTAGTTTTATACATATAAAAATAAAACAAGAGATCTGAGCTGAATTTGGGTTTAAAAAATATATGTCTGTATAAATCGAAAGGGGATTACATATTTATTATCTTAAAAACTACTCAGCCGATTTTAAAAATTCTTTCAACTATGAAAAACTACATTAAGTAACATAGGCTATATATTATTTTCGAAAATTCTATCTAACCATGCGTAGCAGGGCCAGGTTGCTAGATTTTAATAATACAAGTATTAATGGAAGATATAACATACACACACATATACCTTACAGCCTAGATGGTCGCGCACAACGCTGTTTTAGAGATATTTTCTCCTATAAACACTCAGGTTATGAAAGCTCCCTGCCGAGGTTTTCCCAAGAGACTACAGCATGGGGTTCTTCAAAAGGGGAGTAAAGAGGTTTCTTCAGGATTGGCAACATGCGCGTAATACCTCTAGTATTGCAGGCGTTCATAGGCTACAGTAATCGCTTACCATCGTGTGGGCCGTATGCTTGTTTGCCATCTCAGTAGTATAAAAAAAATATAAACATGTATTGCATATCATTGCGGATTAATTACATATTAAATTAGATCCTATAGATATTTTTTCTTTTCGGGATCTCAAACTCGACTGGAAGAAATCCTTTCAAGGGATGAGTCCGCTTGTATAATTTTCTTTGTAACCTGATATCTATATTAAACGTGAATGTATAATAAAGAATACCTTACACAAACAAACAAACACCCCGATTTTTGTATTTATAATTTAAATACATTTTATGTATTTATTTACAATTTCACATCAAGTTTAAATAAAAATAAATATAGATAAATATTTTCTAACTTCTCGTACTTGTGCCTTAGCCGCTTGACGGTTACTGGGACATATTAATATTGATTGACCGCATTTAAAATAGAAGCCTATGTTCTTCACTATACCAAATACTATGTGTATTATTACTATGTGTATGTCATATTTCATGATAATTAATTGAGCAAAAACTCAATTCTACAAGACGATCCAAACTCAGTCGTAGGTACAATAATATCAATAAAGATATTAGTAATCAGCAAGATATCTTTTATAAATAAAGAAGCAAACAATTTATTGTTAAACATTTCGTAAAGACACACTACTACCGGTTTAACTTATGTGTAGTTTGGTCTAGAAAACTCAACTAGTTTTAAGACCATTCGGGACACTTAATCCTTAGTTCAGTCAGGCTCGTATTCGCGTTACAGCCGTTTAGGACTAAGACTGCCAAATAATCCTGACACTAATCGAGCTTTTGTCCACCAAATTACATGTAAGTTAAACCGATACTTATTGCATTAAAAGCAACAAACACTTAAAACTGTAAACCCCATAAGTTTTTTTTTTTATTTTACGATTATGCAACTTATAATAATAATAATTTAATAATACAATTTCACCAACCATTATCTAACATCTATGTAACTGTAACTAATTTAAAGACATCTAAATTTACGAACCTACGACGAGATAAAGTATAAAATTTTAATACATTTAAACTATTATAGTATTCTGTTTCTTTCTTCCAATTAATTATTTTAAATTAAATAGTAAAACACTAATTACTAAAATAGGTTCATTGCTAAATAATAGACTTAGTCTATTGCAATTAGTTTGATGGAAATAATTACATTTCAGTGCAATAATTGTATTACAATTTCCCATTAACACGAGTGTGCATTCATATTATTCTCATACTCTACACTCTTGTGTTAGGATATTATGAGATTCTCTGAACCCTGCATTGCAGTATCTTGAAAATCGTGTAAGTATAATTAGTAAAACGTTTTAGTGCTCTATATAGGACTAAATTTACGAACACTTCCTAGGAGTAAGAAACTTGAAATTTCTTGCTTAACAAAATATTGTTTCTTCACACATATATATAAAGCAAGTAATATATGATGATTAGTAACCTTAAAACATAAAATTATACGTAACAGGATCAAATTCAAGTAGGATATTTCGAACCATTTTAATCGTGGGTAGATGGTGATCAATTTTTTTATCTACGATTGTAGATATCATCGTCATCATATCAGCCGTCTATTATACTATCCACTGCTGAACATAGCGGTATAAGGGGGCTATGACAGTAGTTGCCATGCTTGGCAGGCTTGTTGGTAGCTGTAGTTAGGTTTAGTGGTGTTTAAAGAGAGACGCTGCTACCTCCCACATTAAGTTCCCTTAATCGCCTCTTATGACACCCACGGGAAAGGAAGTGGTGGCTCATTCTATGCTAGTACAACACAGCGCTTTAGATATACTATTTATTAATTTGTCGTATTCGTTTTTATTAATACGCTAATATATGTTTTGAAAAAAAAAAAAAAAACGTATTTTTTATATTGACAGACTAGCATACAGATAAATGTCAATAATGATAAGCGTTACAAAATCACACAAATCGCCTGTTCCTCAAACTAGCTATCACAAAAATTCATTTCGTAAATCGATCTAACCGGATATCGATACCGGAACCAAATTAATACAAAGCAATGTGCCCACAACTATGTGAGGTCGTCAATAGTTAATGATAATATTTTTTTTAAATAATGCCTAATTGTATGAATTTGTATATTTATTTGAAACCAAAAAATATATGAGTACCTGTAGTGATACGCAAGCTAGTTGGTTAAACACTAATTTATTCATTGAAAGAATAAATAGAACAAATTGTTACCGGCCAGTATTTACAAAATTATTAGGTACTGTAGTATATTATGTTTACGTGAACATTATATACTACAGTACCTTTAATATTCATTCTTATTAACTTTGATTTAGAACTTAATTGAAAAGACAACAATTTAAGACACAAATGATTAAAGTAACTGATACAGTAATTAAATGCAAATAAACAACAATAAATTGAGTTTTAATAGTCAGTATCACAAGTTTCGTATTTCGTAAACTTACTTGTACAGTCCAGAACAATTCAACAAAATTTATATTGTTAATGACGACTTGCGTAATTAAAAGTTGAGTATTGTATTCATCTATAAATATAACCTTTTATTATTACAAAAAAAAATTCTCGGTCACATCGATACATGTAAAAAGAAACAAGGTTTTTTTTTTACAACACAGGGGGCAAACGAGTATGCGGCTCACCTGATGGTAAGTGACTACCGCCGCTCATGATTACCCACAACACCAGCGGCATTGCAGGTATAAGGTCTATAGTACTTACTTACTATAAATGGTAAAGACAGGAAATTAACAAAAAATAAAGAAATATACAAACTAAATGAAATGCGAAGGGTCTTTCATTTAGAAGCAATTAGTAGTTTAATTCCAGATGATATTTTTTTTTATGCACATTGAAATGAAAATAATTCTGACGACCAATCTGTTGGTAAGTAGTAACCATTGCTTATAGATATAAATCACGCCATAAACAATACATAATACTATATAATGGAAATAAAGTATACCTTAACGATCATGGTAAAACTGGAACATAAACAAGCAAACCACAATTCGTCAATTATGTGTTATTACGTTCGTTAGTGTCATCAAAAATGTATCATATAAGTTTGGTATTTTATTGATTGGTATCGTAAACAATTTAAATTATTTTTTGTGC